ATCACTTCCAGAGAAATTTGTAAGCGCTGTGTAGCTGCCCCTAGGGTGCTTGACCAATTTAACGCAACGTGCGATTATCCCCCTTGCGCGGAGTGAGGGTTCTCCACCCCGCACAACATAATCTACTCGACCACCATTCATGGTTACCGCAAAAAAAAAACCAAAGGCAAAAAAAAAAGCAGTAACTTGGTTGCTGAGCTCACCAAGTGATCGGCTTGTTTCACAACATCGCTGCCAAGCGACGAAAAGCCAACCCCGATGGCAAACACCGGGGGGGACGGCTTGTTTTACAACGTCGTTGCCAAGCGACGAAAACCCAACCCCGATGGCAACCATCGCCTCCGGGGGGGGGAGGGGGGGGGGGGCCTCATGTTTTGCATGCCTTAACAGTTAAACCATTGACCACTCGTCCTCGAGAGGATGGAGCATTGTTCCCACAGGATGACCCATGAACGCCAAGAAATTCGTTCCTCAGCCAAAAAGATGCGTGCGTGCTGTAAATCTATCTGGGTATTGCCCGGAGGAAAACACTTCAAGCTCAACACAACGACAACAACAGCCGGCACGCACCGGTAACCCTGAACATGTCGGATCGACGACAACGCCAAAGTTCCCCACGAAACTACCAAAGCAAAAAAAAAGAAAAGAAAGATTGTTGAAAATTCCAGCCAATAGGTTAAAATAGACTCAAAATAGGAAATCGAGCCCCATTTTCCAGCGTTTTTTTTTTTTTCTCATTCACTGTCAAGACTTCAACCCCCATCACCTTCGACTGCGGTAGCATCTCTAACGGGTAGTCTTTCTGTGACTGTATGAATATTTCCTAAAAATCCCAACACAGCGACCGCACACACTGCCCGTCACTCCCGCTACACTCCTGCCTGTCCGCCCTACTGCACGTACCTGTGCGTGAGCGAGGCGGCGACGTACCCCTTGAGGGCGCGCATCATCCTCTTGCGCTCCTTGGCGCCCCCATGCGCCGCGCACATCGCCGCCGCCATCGACCCGGGGCGGGTGGACAGGAGGAGCATGTACGAGTCCACCAGCTGCGGCACAAGCTCCTGAGAAACACGGGTGAAAAAAAATGCAAACAGGGTTGGCAGGCGTGCCAAGTGATACTAGCGCCAATACTCCTGCGTTCGGGCATCTCCGACGGGACGAGTGAAAAATGCCATCAGGGGTGTGTGCCTGTGTGAGTGCTATTAACGCCACTGCTGTTGCTGTGCCTGGGGAACTCCATGGGAAAGCAGGAGCACCACTTACGCTACCGAGAGTAAAATACCGTACCATTTAGGGGTAAACGAGGGGGTGGGAGGGGGCCGGTGGGGGTAAGGTGGAGCAAGACCCTTTGCTAATCCAGCATCCGTATCTATGAAGTCTGACAAAAAAATGAAAAGATAAAGCAAAACTATCTCGCGTTGTCCGTTCGAGTTCTATTGGAAGAGGGTGCATCTCGTGGGATAGGGGTGTGACTCCACCTCCACTTGGCATGATGTGCTGGAACATTATCAGCGTCGTTATTTGCCGTGAGCTACGTGCGGACTAGCGTCATGCCCCTGCTTTTGGCAGCGACGCGTCCGCCCGATGCACTTGGCGATTCGCGACGAAAACAACCATCAGCAAAAAAAAAATCCCCGACCTGCATCTGCACAGGCGTGGCCTCTTGCATGTACTCCCAGAGCAGGTCATGGGCGAACTCGAACTTCATGAGGCCCTTGGACAGCAGCTTTGTGATCACCCCGTTCACGTGGGCCATCACGACAGCACGCCTGCAAAAAACAAACAAACACACACACACACACGCACTGAGACTGACGTCTTTTCATTGGTTAGCCGGTTGGCGCGGTCGATGCAAAGAAAAAAAAACACACACAAACACACACAAGGGGTCAGGCGACGGTTGCGGTTGTTTCGGAGAACTGATGAGTGGATGCGCCACAAGCGGAACGGCACTAAAATAACCAGAGCTGCAGCTTGAGAAATTGCGAAAATATGAGCGTGAGGCCTTCGGATAGACTCCGCCAGAGGCCTCAGCGGGAACGGGGCGGGGGGTATGCGTATACTGATTGGCCGGGATCCCCCTTGCCTGACAGAGTTGGCACCAAGCAAAGCGACTCCCGTAGTGGGCATACCCCCTAGACGGATAAAAAACAACAAAGCAACACATGTGGGAGGATTGTTCTCAAATTGGTCTGCGCGGCCTTCGCGCAAGCTCTGTGCTGAACCGTTAGGGGCCAATTTCCCCGAGCATTGCTGTCAACGGCCCTCGCTAGTGCACTCAGCGGCACCGGCACTATTCAGGGCCCGAAGGGATTGATTTCATTTTTTTCGTCACACGGTTTCACCGGCACACCGGTGTTACTTACACCCCCGACTATATCGAAACTGGGGGGGGGGGGGGGGGTGTAGAAGGGAGATGGATGCGACAAGGGACATTGTAGCGCAAAAAAAAAAAAAAATTACCTGTCAGGCCTGGCCTTGAGAACCGCCTTGAGACTGTGGGGCTGGTTGTCGTCGGTGAACAAGGCGTACTCCTTGCCGTAGAACTCCGACTTTGTTTTTTTTTTTCGCACGTGACGGAGAAAGGGGTGTTGTGTCGACACTTCAGGCAACAACAGAAAAAAAAAATCAAGCTTGTGTTTGTCGAACAGGATACAAAGGCGAGCAAAAATCGCCTGCTCGGGTCGCGTCTAAAACCTCGTGTGTGTGGCATCTGTCCGCAAAGCTTCTTAAGGGTACGCAGTACGAAGCCAATTCTACCTCAAGGGTTCTTCAGGGGAGAACCATAAGAATAACAACACAATCGAGCAACGAACTTGCTGGTGTTCCAGCGCCCTTGGCCACTCATCGGAAGGGGAGCAGGCATCCAAGCACGCTCGCCGCAAGCGTTCCTCTCCTGTAACATTGCCGGTCTAACCACCTAACCCACCACTTTGCGAATCATCATCAGGTTCCCATGGCTACTCAACCCCGGGCACACATCCAAGATCTCTACCCGCATGACGCCTTTTGCACTTTTATTCTCTAACTTACACAAGCATGGCGCCGTTCCATTGTACGTACAATCCCACCGAGGCAAGAGGAACTGGCTTGGAATGCTCAAGTGTTCTGTATGCAAGAGTGTAGAAATGTGACACTTCTCGCGGAAACTTCCTACAAGGAAATATACAGTATTTATTGCGACAAGCAAGATGACTTTCACTTCCCAAACAAAGCAAGCGTCGCGACGGAACGCGGAAGGACAAGCGAGGTCCCGTGGAAGGCCGCTCATTCGCAAGCAGCCCCCCCGTACCGCATCAACCAACCAACCAACCGACCTTGATGAGCGCGGCCGAAGCCACGGGGAGCGAGTCGAGCGCCGTCTGCACCACCCTCGCGCCGATCGCGTGGGTCGCCAGCTTCACCGTCTGCCCCCTGAAGGTCTTGGCAACGCGCTTTTGCTCCTCGGCGCCCTTGATCTCCTTGAACAGGCGCAGGACGATGAAGTGCGCGTACGTCAGCTGCGACAGCTGGGCGATGTGCCCCTCGATCTCCGTGAGGATGGACAGGCGCTCCTGAGGCATATTTTTTTGTTTCCCGAGGCGAATGTGAAGGAAGGGGGAACGAACGAACGGGCGCAGGAGGGAGGGGTGGGGGTAGGGGTGGGGGTCATTTTTCGATCGAACCGTGCGTGTGTAGCTTTGGATTGGAGTGAAAAGGGGACGCACGAACGTCAAGCCGCCCTGGCGTGTGTGTACATGATGGCATTTCTGGTAGTTGCTGCACTCATGTCTGCCCTCAAGGTTCCATCCCCTCCAGAAACTCTCGGTTCTTCACTCATGTGAAACTACTGTTATGACCAGGGGTTAGATCTATCACGCCAAGAGAGGACAGAGGGTGGGCATCGTTGACGACGGCAAGTGTCTACAAAGCTGTGAATAGCCTCAATCAAGCGGTCTTAGTGATGGGCTCCGTGAGGGGAAGGGGGACCCGTGTCGTGGTGTAAGGGCAGAGGAATAAATTGGGCTTGTTTCTTGGGACGAGGTTAAGTTCGTCATGGAAGTCAACAACGGAGCCGCACGTGCACAGTACGTAGTCTACCGGTTACTACGTAGGCTAGGCTTGCATAATAATGCGAATTTCGTGAGTCAGAACTAGAAAACGAAGATGCGCCAACGAACCTCTTGGTTCCCGAACTGCAGCGCGGTCTGCACCACCCTGCTGGCGTCGTGCTTGAGCGCGATGTCCATCACCTTCCCCTTGATCAGTTGCAGCAGCTCTTGCACAAGCTTCGCTCGCTCTTCGGGGGGCACCTACACGGGAACAGGACCAAGAACACCACCACCCGTCAGCAACAGCAGCAGCAGCAGCAGCAGGAGTACAGCAGTGAAAGTAGTGTCCTACAGCTAAGGGCGGGCACGCTCTCCGCAGCGTGCCGCGCGAAAGCAAGAGAGGTTACAGAAAATAAGCGCCAGGGACTGATTGATTGTAGAAAAGCAGATTACGCGTCAGCAATTGCTGTGCAATTTACGTACGGTGAGCGTATCCCACACCACGTAACGCCAGCAGCGTCAACAGCAGCGTGGCGGCGACAGATAAGCTACGCACGGGATAGTCAACACCAGCTGCGGTGGGGCTGCTGTGGAAGAACGGGAACGAGACTTCTTCAAGTAGCTTGCAAATACACTCATCGGAAAACGCGCAGGGTGATCATGCTTGTGTAGCATGTTGTGGGTTACGGCGTGCCGCTAGGAAACGGTATGTACCGAGGGAGAAACGGTGCCGGTAAGATACACACGAGAGCAAACTCTGACGCGGAGTGCCTGGCACTGCCGAAAGGACACGCAGCCCCCTTCGTCGGGTGAAGTATAAGTGGCCCGATGTGACCGCTCTTGCAGTGGCGCCCGCCTGCGGGTATCAGTGTAGCCGAGCAACACTTTATACGACAAGCGCACCGAACAGCACAGAACAACACGTGTGCCACTATATCATGTTACGCCGCAGCGGTAATCTTGGGATCCCAACACTTTGCTGCAACTAGCGCCCGCTCCCTACCCGCAAGCGTTGTTGTCTGCATGCCGTCGACTCACCTTGCGCTCCCTTAGCTTGTTCCATATTTCCTTCGACCTCTTCACGGTGTTGAACTGAGGGCGTTGCTGCTGCCGTTCGAGTTTGAGCTTCCGCTTCTTGTTCGCTGGCCCCTTATCTTCCTCTCCACCGCCACCACCCCCTTTGTCGTCGCTGTTCCCTCTCCCGCCGCTCGCCTTTCCCCCACCACGCCCGCGGCCCCTTCCTCTACCGCCAGCTCCCTTGCTGTCGGAGGACCACTTTCGCTTGCCGTCTCCACCATCGGAAGAGTCAGGCTTCGTGTTTTCATCCTTGGGGTCAGCACCGTTGGAGCGCCCACTACTGCCACGCCCCCGCCCTCCACCTCTCCCTGCTCCGCGCCCGCCGCCCCTCCCACGGCCACCACGACCGCCACGACCACCACCTCGATCGGAGCTGTTTCCACGCCCTCCTCCTCTTCCTCTGCCTCTGCCTCCTCTACCGCCGCGGCCTCTTCCGCCACCACCACGTCCCGCGTCCATGGTTTTCCAACTGGGTGCAACGACGCAGGGCCCGGCGGGATGTACGCGTGCTGGTGTAGGCTTTGTCTCCTCGTGTGGTACTGGGTGGCCGTGTGCCGTGTGGCCGTGCCCTCGCTTTGCGTGGTCATCCATGGAGAGAGGGCGCTCATTGGTGGAGGACGCCACAGTCCTGCGCTCAAGGGGGATACGCAGAGATGAGAGGGGCAGGGGGGGGTCTTTCGCCGGGCGTGAAATCGGTGGTGCCGGCCATGCTCAGACCGAACGACCTCTAGCTCCTCCTCTCCGAGCGCTCAACACTCATAGCCATCATGGCCTCCTCTTCTCTTCCCGCTTGCCTCCATGCCAAGTGAGTCTGATGGTTGTTGTGGCGATCGCACGCAAGTTTTCTTGTCGGAAAAGACAACTCAAAAGCGTCGATTTCGTGCTGTTCAAAAAGAGCCTCCTTTGTCCTGTTTGGTTGGCGTTCATCCTAACACGCGTTGCTCACGGTAGCGTGTGTGACCGACCTCCTTGATCTGTCACGTGGTTTGTAGCTGGATGTGTGCGTAAGGGGCGATGTACCGTTTGCTGTTTGTGCAAAGTCCGGCGGCGTATCTTGTTTTCACCCCGAGGGTGCTTGGGCCCTCTCTCTGGTGCTTGAGGGCACCAAGGCCCAGGGATAACTCGCAGCACTTTTGTGGTCAACGTCCGTGGCAAGCAGACTCGTCACCGATGCATGTGTCCGCCTGTTTGCGACTTCCCTTTCTCGGGCAAGGAAACGTAGCCATTTGAGGGCACGTTCGTACACGTTGTGTATTCGACTTGATTTTGCCCACCTTGTGTAGTGTGTGCCCGGTTGTTGGTCTGTTTTTTCAAATGGTTATTCGTCGACGCCATTGCTGCTCTGCTGTGTGGGATGTTAGGGAGGAGGACATCCACAAGATGCTGGCTGCCCAGGTGCACATCGGCACCCGCAACAGCGACAGCCAGATGCAGGACTACATCTGGCGCCGCCGCCAGGTATGTTGGACCCTGAACAAGCTAACACAAGCCGTTACCAAATAATTATGTTCTCTGTATGCACATAGCAAACCCGCACGTCGATAGACAAGATCCGAGGCCCGGTGCCTCCGGACAGCGCGCCTACCTGTCGGGACCGGCGCTAAATAGGTGTTGGTGGGACGACAAGCCTCTCAATGGTATAATCACGTAATGTCAACAACAACAACAACAACAGCAGCAGCGGCAGCGGCAGTAGCCATTAAGCGGTCGTCGGGCGGGGTTAGCGGGTCAGCTTTTTCGTTCCTACGGTTGATGGATGGTTGCTCCTGCTGTCTTGTGCTTCAACCGACGAGTGAAGAGGAGGCGTTGAACGACCAGCACGTGGCTGTGTGTTGGATTGTGCCCAGAGCCTCCTTGCACTCACCCTCTGGACACCCTCGTCTCCCGTGATGGCTGATATGTCGCGGCCTAACCGGTGATCCCCCGGTTGTTTGATTTCAATGTGTTGCGGTTTTCGCTACAGGATGGCATCCACATCCTCAACATTGGCAAGACCTGGGAGAAGCTGGTTCTTGCCGCCCGTATCATCGTGGCCATCGAGAACCCCCAGGTGCGGATGCGAGCTCTTCTGGACAAGTTAGTCATCGTCTCTGTAGTGATATTGAAGCTCTTGTCCTTGCGGAGAGCAACGTCATTGTCTCTACCCTAATGTTTCGGGTGCGAAGAGAGCCAAATCTCTTCCGCGGTTACCGAAGGCAACAGCAGCTCTCCGCTAGAAAACGCCTCTCCCGCCAAACTTCGGCTGCAGCCGAAAGCTGGCAATCAGAACTTCGGGTGTTGGCAATCCGTTCCCCTGTCTCCCAAGTTTCAGATGGCAGGCATGCCTCGCATCCTACGGTTTTCTGCCGAACGAGATCCCCTAGTAGAAAGACATGCCGGCCGACGGGTGCACGCAGAGTACTCCCCTAACGACGTTTCTTTTTCTGTGAGTGTAGTCCCTTGACTTCACGTTCGCGATGATGTAGTGTGGGGGCGTGACTGATTCTGGTTGGGGACGTTGTCGTGGGCCTCCAGCCGGCCCCTTCCGCGTGACCCCCCATGAAGTTGGCTGGTCCAGTTTACGGCCCTGTCGGCGCCCTCTCTGACACAGTGGCCGGGTGATGTCGGGTCGCTCTCTCTCTTCACACGAGTATCCCTTGCTCCCCCGTTCCCTTCGCGACGTTGCCCTCGTGACAACAACATAACGACCTGCACATCATCCACAGGACGTTGTGGCCATCTCGGCTCGCCCCTACGGCCAGCGCGCGGTGCTCAAGTTCGCCCAGTACACGGGCTGCCTGTCCATCGCCGGCCGCTTCACCCCCGGTACCTTCACCAACCAGATCACCAAGCAGTTCCGCGAGCCCCGCCTGCTGATCATCACCGACCCCCGCCCTGACGCCCAGGTACTGTGTGGTTTGTCGGTGGTTGGGGCTGGTGTATGGTGTTGGCTTTGATTGTTGTCGACAACGGGCGGTATCGGGACAGCAGTGTTTGTTTTTCGCCTCGATGCACACTCGAAGATCGCTTCTGTCACAGGTAACGCTACTAGGCACGCGTAATTTTTTTCGTGTTCCTCATGAGATTAGGATTTATTTGTACATCCGCACACACGGCCTGAATGCCTTGCGTCCAGTAGAGGAATGCTGCATGGTTGACCCGTGTCCCCAGCTTGAAATTGCTTTGGACTGTCACCGTGCGCGGCGCCTCCGCTCTTGATTTCGCCGCATAACATTATCCACGCGCGCTTCTTTTCTCCTGAGGGACGACGCATGTCCATCGCAGGTAGCGGACGTATCGCTAACCTGTTCCTCCCCCCCCCCCTCGTCTGCCTGGCCGGCGAAAAACAGGCGGTGAAGGAGGCGTCGTACGTGAACGTCCCCGTCATCGCCTTCTGCGACAGCGACTCCCCCCTCCAGAACGTGGACGTTGCTATCCCCTCCAACAACAAGGGAAAGCTGTCCATCGGTCTCCTGTACTGGCTGCTGGCCAGGGAGGTGCTCCGCATGCGCGGCACGATCGACCGCACGGTGAGAAGGGGAGAAGGATCGCACCCCGACGGAGCTGTAGTTGCGATATCGACACAAGAAGCTTGTGCTGTGATTGTTTGGTTCAGTTGGCGTTGACCGCGCCATGCATCAACCGACGGAAATGACTAAATATTTTGTTTTTTTGTTTGTTTTTGGTCGTGAAACTGAGCGAAAAACCCGTGTTGGCGTGTCTGTCGCGTGGACACGCGGACGGTGTGTGGGTAGGGCATGTGTGTCGGTACTTTCGGTTGTGTCGTGGGCGTCCGGATATTTGGCCCGAGCTTGCGCGTTTTCAATCCGTGCTCAATTTGTTCAAGAGTGCAGTCACAGGGCCCTCCTCCTCCCAGATCTGTTCTCGTTTTGCGTGCTCCTTGATTGCACGCGTTTTCGAGTGACCGCTTACAAGACTTGCGGCATCCTGGCGAGCTAGTCCTAATGTTGCAGTACCGACGAGAACGCACGGATAAACAAATTGTTTGACCGAACGCATGTCACGTGCCGATCCACCGCGAGTCCAATTCCACGGCAACCCTAACGGACGACCCCCACTACGCCACGCCGGTCTCCATGAAACCACCCATCCAACCAACCCACGCGCTGTCAACTCAGCGCATCCCCTACTTGACCAATTCGTTTCTTTTGACAACGGCAGCAACCAGTCGCCCATGTAGTCTAGTGTGGTTGGTACCTCGAAACCTTCTATTGGCCAGGGTCAGGGGTTCGAATCACCGGCGTAAGCTAGCTTTTCTTGCGAAGTGAGTTTTTCTCCCACTTCCGTTCCTGGCGTGGGTGGAAAGTGCTGCACTCATATCGCATTGATAATGGAAGTCAAAGCACCGCAGGAGGGGCGGGTAGGGGGCCTCAGGGAGAGGAACCCTTCTGCGTGACCCCAAGGGTTGGAGCAAAACGGCACAGGTGCTGTGAGCACTGATTCAAAGTGAAGACAACAACAAAAAACATAAGTAAAACTGAGTCCTGGACGCGCCCCTAATTCGTTTTTTTCTATTAATAATCTGGAACAGGTCGCCTGGGACGTTCCCGTGGACCTCTTCTTCTACCGCGAGCCGGAAGAGCTCGAGAAGGCGGAGGAGGCGCAGGCCCCCTTCCAGGAGCCCGCCGCGGCCGCCGCCAGCGGCTGGGGCGCCGATCCCATGGCCGGCGGCGCCGCCCCTACCCCGATGGAAGGCTTTGCCGCCGTCGACCCCGCCGCCGCGGCCCCGGTGCCCGTCGAGTACCAGGCGCCCCCGCAGGCGGCCGCCATGGGCGGCGGCTGGGACGCCGCCCCGGCCACGGGCGCCGAGCAGGGCATGCCCGTGGAGCAGGTGCAGCCCGTGGCGGAGGCCATGCCCGTCGACGCGGGTGTGCCCCCGGCCGCCGGCGGCGGGTGGGACGCGCAGCAGGCGCAGGCCCCGGTGCAGCAGGCGCAGGCGCCGCAGCAGGCGCAGGGCGGAGGGTGGGGCGGAGCCCCCGCCCAGGCCGGCGGGGGGTGGTAAAAAGAGCGCTCCTCAGGGCGGCCGCTTGAGGCTCTTGGCGAGCGAGAGCTGAGCGGTTTGCCGTACCGCCGAGGTGTGTCTGGCTGGTTCTTGTCGAACACGCCGGTGTTGGCTTGTCGCTTTAACGATGAGCTGCAAACGATTGAGGGCGGGGGACGGAGGGGGCTGGTATGTGAGGCTCTGTTTCGCGTTTGCTGCGGTGTCGAGCAGGTGACTGCCGGCGCAGCTGGTGTCACCTCTTTTGCCTGGTTTCTTTATACTAGGGTCGGTCGTTTGTGCCCGTGGTGTCTAGTTGAGCTGCTTCGTGATGCCGGGCGGTAGAGGGGTGGGTGAGTAAGAGAGAGAGAGAGGTCGTTGGAGGTCGGGTTTATCTGATGCTCAAAAGCTTGGGTTTGGTCACCCAAGCTTGGGTTTGGTCACCCAAGTTTCGGATGCGCATCACATGGTGCCGCCTCATCATAAATAAGCACTAAATCGCAAAAAAAAAAAGATCCCTCGAGGTGCCGATTTGGGCTCTGTTTACCTCGTCGATGGCTCGTGTACAGCAGTATGTTGTATGATCTTCGTTCTCGAAGGCATGACCGAACATGGGGTTATAGCTCCCGCCTCCATGTATTACCGCCCTCTGCTGGCGTGTACCTCGTCAGTGGTGCGACTTGGGGGAACCTCAAACGACGGCGTTCTTCGGAAGATCTGAGCGGGGGATCATGCCACTTGAAGTATCGACTGACAGCTAGTTGTGCCGATCCGCTTGTAAGAGAACCTGATTCAAGCATGGGTTCAAAACTGTCCCACCGTCCGCCGTCCGCCGGGACGTGGGGTCAGCACCGCAGCAACTCCCGCGCTGGTCAATTTAAATGGCGTTCATGATTATTTCCACCCTGCCGCGTGGGCGGTACTTGAATACTGCCAGTTTCCATTATTTTATTTATCGCCTCCTCCGCCAAGCAAAGTCGTACCGTCGACAATCGGAAATATATACCGCCAAACAATTACCGGCGGCGTACGGGGTTACAGTACCGCCAACAACTTCCGCGTTTTTTTTACCACCTCGCTCGGTAAAACAGTCGTTGCCCACGAAAAACACGATGACGCCTACCGTCGAAACATTTTACGCCTGTATGTCATGTTTCCGCCATTTTTCACATTACCGCCGAAAAACTACCCCGATATTTTGGTTTTTCTCCCTCCGCCAACGTCGTCACGTCCGTAAATGAAGACTGCCTACCGCCAAAATGATGCACGGCTAAAAAAATGTGTCCCTAATAAAACTTACCGAATGTGACCCCTTTGTTGCTGAGAAAATCGGGTTGATCGCATCCTACCCAAACATCTTTTGTCTTGTCCGCCTCATTTTTTTTTCCCTGGTTGATGAGCGTTCCGGCCAAACGGAAAAAAAGGTACCTAGAGCAACCTCGATTAATACGGTAGAAGATTAGTTGGTTGTCCAACGAAGGGAAACGAGATTGATTGACAAACGGGGAACAGCGGTGTGGGATGAGGGAGAAAAGGGAAGAAAAAAACGAAGCACATCCCTTTCGACTGCTGTGGTGGCTGTTTCTCACTACAGTAGTCCTAGTTTTTTTGGTTTTTTTCTACATTTTTTTCGAAACAAAAACGCCAGAACGAGAAGGACGAAAAACGCAACAATCCGGCGATCCGAGGCTCGAACCGTCGTCTCGAAACTTTAAGTGTGGAGAACTCCTGAATCGTTAGGTGCATGCATGTGTTAGCGTGCAGGAAACTACCTGTACTTGTCTCCAGCGTGGTTTTTGGTTGTAACCTGTTCCGTTGAGGCTATGCCCAATGCGCGCGACCTGTGCCTGAAAACGAAGGGCCTTCACAGGATTCTAACCCGTGCACGGTCGGTAGCTGGGACCATGTAGGCGAAACCCCAACATGTTCAGGGCACTCACAAGGGTATGGACAGGATGGTGACCACGTGCAGGGTAAGCACAGGGATAGCCGATTGGCCACCAGTGCAACCGAGCGCCAAACTATTCTCTAGCGCTAAACCCCCGTCCATCGCACGCACACCAACGCACATCATCTATAGTACTCATATCCATCCCCAACTTGATATTTTTCCTTGGAATTCCTCCCTCTGATACATTGACGCAGTAGTAGAAGACTAACGCATGTCTGGTCTTGTCCAAAATAGACTCTACATCCAAGGTGCCCACGTTACATACCCCGCATACACCGAATAACTGGAGGGCAAAATCCTACTTTCCCCCGCCCCATCTTGGCAACGACGTTGTAAAACAAGCCAGTTCACTTCGGGAACTCGGCAACCAGGTTACCGTTTTTTTTTTACGTATGTACTTTTTGGCGGTAACCATAATGGTGGTCGAGTAGATCATGTTGTGCGGCGTAGAGAACCCTCATTCCGCGCAACGGGGGATGATCGCATCACGCTTTGTGAAAAGGGTCAAAAGCAGCTTCGAGGCAGTTACACAGTGCTTCCAACTGCCTCTGGAAGTGAAAGCACCAGAAAATAAATTAAGTCATACGCAGCTGTCATCCATACGCGAGGAAGTAAGCACAAGATGCCGAACACCCTTAGCAGGATGCAGCGCATCCTTCATGCGACTCGCCGAATACGTCACGGCGCTTCGTGCTCGGTGATGTGAGAGCCTGGTCCGGCGAGAACCCGGCGTGCTCCGTCCCGGCTTTGTAGGGATGCGAGGTGAATGGTCTACCGACTACGGCATGCGACTATGGGTATTCATTCAATAAGTGCACTCAGACGTGTCCAAGCTTCACACCGTGTGCGCGCAGCTGGAACGTGATGTTGGAAAAACAATTGTTGGAAAAACAATCGAACGACGAACCCATCCACATCATTATCCACGTACACTACATCGCGAAGCAATTTCCAGTGAAACCAAAAGCCCGGAAAAGCATCACGCCTCTTGGGGCGTCAAGGGAGAACCCCAATGCTCGGCGGAAACCGCGGAACACATGTCATACAGGTGTTCGCAATTAGCTGAGAGTGTTTCGTTCGCCTACACCACCTAACACCTTCCGACGGTATTCTCGTACGCCAAGCTACGCCAAGCTACGCCAAGCTACGCCAAGCAGAACGAACGTCGTTTCGGGGTGCGTTTATCCACCCTCGAGCGCACGCCGTGCTCCTCTTCCTTCTCCTTCTCCTCCTCCTCCTCTTCGTCCCCTTCCCCTTGTCTTCTCTCCCTTCCCGCGGCCCCTACCCCCTTCCTCTCTCTTGCTCACTGCTCTCCCCCCCTCTTCGGTGGGCTCCGAGTCCACTTCTTTCACCCCACGCCGAGAAATCTTGTCTATACTCTTGTCCCGCAACAGCCTGGGCTAGCCCCTCCCCCGAGGGCGCGCTGATCATGCCCTCCCTCTCGTCGTCTAGGTGCGGTACAGCGCACATCGTACGGGTGAGGCCGGCGCGCACGAGCGCACGAGGCTAGGGGGCACGCAGAAGCACAATAATGCACAAGACACGGTGCCCCTTGTAGCGGCTGCCTTTTAGCTTCAAATTGATTCATGATGCGTTTGCTAGCTCTACCTTGACTGGCACGCTGACCAACGGAGGAGGCAGTCCATGGAGGCGGCGGGCCCGCTTGCTTGACCCAGCCGTGTTGCTAGAGGAAGTGTCGACCAGATCATTTGAAGACGTCGCGCGCGAACTTTTCTTGCCCAGGCCTACGCGAGCGGTGCTGTTCTTGCGTACGAGCTTGACCGTCCCATCCACCGCGCATGCTGAGAACAAAACTGCTCCTTCTTGCTACCTACCGGGCCGAGCGACGCGCTGGTGGTACAGCCTTGGTGGTCGCACCTCCTGAAGTGGTCGCCCCCGGGGAAAGGCATCATCGGATGTCAAGGCGGGCGAAACTTCATGTAATAGGCCAAGAAATGCTCTACGGAGAGGGAGTACCGTGCCATAGTTGGTGTATGGCAGATAGAAGGAGTCTTTGACCGGATGGCGTAAGACGTTGGGCGGTATGCATTCATCACTCCAGAACCCAACGCAGAAATGAACATCTAATTGAAGTGATATCGGCATTTCAAATACCTTGATTGTTGGTCGTTCTCCGACGACTCCGCCGAGGAACGCGATCGCTTGGTCGGTTGACCGTCATGACGAGGCTCCTCGGTGTCCTCGTTGTCCTCAGGGTCTGCCGTATTGCTGTGAAGACCAAGGTGTACCCGTGAGAACAAACGGTCATGCAATCAACGGAGTGTTTGCAACCGCAATCGGGCATAGATGTATTGGAAAATTTAGGTCCAGCCCCGAGATATACACATGCGATCCAATGAATATGATGATGAGCAGCATGTGACGCCAACCAAACCTACGCCGAGACATGCATAACAAAATTCCATTGCTCCTGAGGCTTGTCTGCGTCATTTCATCTTGGGTATGCCAACTTGCATCTTCCAGATCGCCGTCGTTGGTCTACGACAACGCATCATGTCACAGATGAAAATGAGAGGACCACACAAGGCTCACCCTTTCGAACTACTTACGGGCGTTGTCCGCACATTTCATCAAGGAGACATTCCTTTCCATATATCAAGAGAAACGAAACGTCACACCTGGAACATATTTTGCGGGCGATGCCATCGTTTGATTTTCTCCTTCCATTGACAACACCGCCGGTGGCAACCGCACAGAAAACACCGTCGCTGAGGATGTGAAGCTATAGACGCTCGTCGTCGTTACGAATACAATATGGTACGACGCAATGCCAAGTGTGAACAGACGAGACGGAAAGGTATTCTTACCGTGCACAACAAGTACTGATATTTTCAACAATTGTGTACACCTGGATCACCACTTTCAATTCCGGTTAGCGTTATCCCAACATTTTCTTCCTCAGGTACTCCGCAACACTCACGATTTTTCCCCAGGAACATCTTCGGCTTCGACCGTCAGGGTCACTTCCACGGATTTATTTGTCCATGTCCCGTCATCCGTGACTAGGCCAAAATCCTTCAACTCGGACGTTGTCAGTGAGAGATGGAATTTCCCTCGTTCACACGTAGCTACCACCCGACGTCCGAGGGAAGCTGAGTGCCCGGCAAACCTGTTCAGTATTTCGAAAGGGGTTGAAAACGACAGGGGAGCAACAGCATTGGGTAAGAAGCGGCGTAGCTCCCGTAGCTCCACGGTGGTTGACAGTGAAACATATAGACTCCTCCTTGTTGGTGCCCAGCCATCATCCGCTGCTATCCGAAACAAGGGCTGACTTCGACGAGTTGAGCGCCGGCGCCCGACAACATCCGCTACGCGGCGGCATAGCTCCGTTTCTCGTATAGCGAGAATCATGCAGCATAAGAGTACGAACAGTTAAAATAAGCTAGCTGCCCGCACCACCCTCCCCCAGGCAATGACGGGTTCAGCAGACGTGAGGCAATCGCAAAGCATTAAATCTCAAAAGTATCAATGCATTTGTGTATAGAGTACTTGCCGTGATCTTTGCCGTCCTCGCCGGCGCCCGATTCCGCCTCCGCTTGTTTTTGGAGGTAAAAAAAACGAAGGCGGCTGGCGTCGAAGAAGGCTTCTTCATCCCCTTTCCAATTGACCGCCGTCAGGCATTCGGCGCTGGACAGAAGTAGATCCTTCAGCGGCTTCGCACTACTTGGCATAGCCTTCCAGAGGTCTTTGAACCCCTGAGGTACGTCTAGGCCTTTCTCGTGTTCTTGGGACAGGGCACGGTCGACCACCAAGACCGCGAAGCACAAGTACATCACCCTGCCATGGTGGCCCTTGACATCTGAGTCAAGCTGAGAGAGAAGAGGCAGTACAGGTCGAGTGTAGGAAGACGAAGCCGGGAAGTTAGCTGGAACACATGAAACAATGATGAAACTGGAGAGGACAGCGCATGCGTGCAACCCGTACTAACAGTAGAGCACGCAGAGTTCTTACAATAGGCAACGCAAATCTGCAACAATAGAGCACGAAGAGCTGAATCTACTCGTAACTGACAGAGGAACATGAACGTTGGCATAAGACTCAATCGTCGACACCCACCACGTACTCCTGCAGCACTTGTTTGCTGATGGGTACGACGGTGACCGAGGTTGACACGAATGGGGGACGAGGCACTCCAGTCTTGGCATCGGCGCCATTCACCACGGAAGACCTGTTCTTCAGGGCCGGGAATCTCTGTTCGATCCTTCCAAAGCCCTTTTGAAATACTTTCGGAGTGATGTGTTTCCTGTCAAAACCTTTGCCTACGAATGACATCAGGACTGGAATCCACTTCTCCGCCATCAGTACGACGTCATCAAGGCGCTTGTTGTCGTTGGCACTAAAAAATCTCGCATCGTCCTCCGTGAATGCTTCAAGCAGGTATTCGAAAAACGTGAACACGTCAGGACCACACTTGATGTCCGATTCGGCACCCGACAAGCCGCTCTTTGCATCGTTCGACCCTCCCCCCCCGGTTGATTTCGGCTTCCCCTTCCCCTTGCTCAATGGTACTTCAACCCCGTGGTCAAAAACACCGGGAGCATCCTTGTTCAAAACACTGGACTCCCACAAGTTCTCGACGAGCGCATATTGGTTCTGCTGGGGACTGCATCTGTCTGATGAGCGGTGTAAAGAAAGCCGCAATGTCCAGCAGTTGTGGTCGCTGCAGAGTCGGAATCAACGAACGTCACGCATTCAGGAGGTGAGCATTGTCCTCGTAATCAAGTGCAGTTTTCCCGACGCAAGAGAATACCGTGCGGCATGCATTTCGCGAGTGGCTCACCGCGTGTCCCTCATGGACCCCTATGCCTGGAATACAAAGCATGCTCGAGGCGAGGCAGTGGAAATTGCCCCTTGACAATAGGGGGGGCAGTCGCACACCCAGCGACAATCGAATCGGCAATCTAGACTGTCGAAAACAACGCATACAAGGCCGGCAGAGGTAACTCGCACAACGGCACAATACTGCCCCTACATGTTACGTATGTATTATTGCGTGTTCGGGTTGATGTCAATATCGATCGACCCGGATACGGCCGCGCAAGCTGCCACGCAGGGCCTTGGAAAAGAAAGGATCACCATGCGTATCGTGAAATGCAAAAACCTCTGAGTTGCACATCTAGCAGCCTCGTAGGTCTACGCGGCGGCCTATGCTCCCACGTTCCAAACCTCTTGTGGTATAAACGTTAACCGGCTCAAATCATCCATACCATGGTACACGATAATATCAATCGACCTCAGCCTCCTTGTAGGTAGAACGTGCGCGGCCGCGTAACCTCCCATGTCCAAAGCTATTGTGGTAGAAAAGTTCACCGAGTGAATCATTCACACACGACGCCAATCACCAGTTAGCCTCGTAGGCAGGCCTACGTGGCCGCGTGATCTGAAACGTACAATTCATGGTAGACATGCAAACCAACCCACCGGTGCGGCAAAACTGTTCTGTTCAACCCGCCCGGGGGAACTCACGTTGGCTGCAGCTTTGTGCTTGTACGTGCTATGGCCAATCTTGGAAGCAGTCTCGTGGCTGATGTGTCCGTGGACGAGAACTCGAAGTCGTGACTTCGTGGATGCAAGACCCTCGGCGAGAGCCTTCATCTGAGCCTGGGCCCCTTCGTGTCAGATAAAGGAACAACGAGATGGAACTCAAGTGAAGTGCACATCGCTTTCGCAACTTCACTCTCATAGCTATTCTCGGCAATACCTCCTCTCCCATACCGTACATGCGGTACTGCCATCTAGGGGGCGATTTTACGCCTGCTATACATTGTAGAAGTACACTTGAAGCAGTATTGTAGTAGTGTCTCGTGATCACATCCACCCAGAAAGACGTGTGTCCTCTGCATACGACAATCGGTTTAGAAATAAGAACAAGAACCCTGTTTATCATAGGTGGCTGCCTGCCCCAAATAAGAACTTGGAAAATGAGAACATGTGCTCGGTTGACAACCAATAAGCGTCGAGTCTCAAGCCACATAAGCAAATAAGCGGTTCTGGGGTGGCGCGTTCTGTAGCAGTGGTGCACGCAAAGGGCACTCAACACTTGCCCGTTCAAAGAAATTTATCTACGCGGATGCTTCTGTATCCCAGTATGTAGAGAGAAAAGAGAGAAAAGGTTTTGTGGCACGCAGAGAGAAAAGAGCAGCAGCAAGGAGCAGACGCAGTGCAGTATGCTACTACAGCTTTACAGTCCGTCCTCCTCAAGTCCTGTCGGAGATGATTAGTATCGCACAACGGCTGGATCCAAAATGCCGGCTAGCTCCGCAATCCAAGAGAGGTAGTTTCATATCACAAAGTTTTTCAGCAAAAATGTACAAAGCAGCGAAAGGCCCAAAAAAGTCCTGCCGGTCCATGAATCGAGTTAAATAACTGTGTAAGATTGAACGAAGGAAATCTGGGGTTTGTGGCGCGGGACTGAATCGTACAGTGGCAAGGTAGGCAAGAAATTGCGGGGAACTTTCATCGGGAGATTGGATGAGCATGGTGGTGATGACGCATTGGAGTACAACTTGAGCAGCTGCAGCAAGAAGCAATAAGAAGAGTGCACACTGCAGCCGCTCCTGTGAGACGAAGGGACAATCTGCCGTAGAGGTCATCGAGTGTGTGTTAGGGACAGGTCAGGAGTGTGGGCTTCGGCTAGGTGATTGGCCGGAAAACCCTATAAGAAGAGTGCACACTGCAGCCGCTCCTGTGAGACGAAGGGACGATCTGCCGTAGAGGTCATCGAGTGTGTGTTAGGTAAAGGTCAGGAGTGTGGGCTTCGGCTAGGTGATTGGCCGGAAAACCCTAACCCGCGATGGCGGATCCGAACGTGAATGCCGACGGTGCAGCGGATGCCGGCGGCGCAGCGGCCAACGCAGCGGCCAACGTCAACCTTGCTGATGCCGTCAATGGGCAGGCTATCGCGCTTCAAGCAGTGGTCGCACAGGTGGCAGCTTTGCAGCAGCAGCTCCAACAGCAGCTGCAGCAGCCGCAGCAACAGCAGCAGCAGCAGCAGGGACAGCAGATACAGCCGGCGCCGCAGCCCCAGCAAGCCCCGGGCGCTGATGGTGGCCCGCCGCAACAGCAGCAGCAGCAGCAGCAACCGATTGAGCCGCAGGCAGATATATGGGGTTTATCCGGCTGCCGCGGCAGCGGCTGGAGGAGCGAATCCGGCGGGCGGTGTCCACCAGGCAGACCAGCCCGCCGCTCTGGCGGCGGGGGGAAATGGGGGCGACGACCAGCAGGGAGGAGAGGGGGCGGCCGTTCAGCAGTTGCAGCAGCAGATGGCTGCGGTCCAGGGTCAGTTGGATATGTTGATCCCACACATTGAAGCGTTGAGTCAGCATGTGTACGCTGGTCAGGATGGTGGAGCAGCGGCTCAAGGCTCACCCCCTCTTGGGGGTGGACTTCCGGCGATGCCAGGGGTCGCCGGAGGGGTCTCCACTGGCCAGCGAGAGACTGAAAAGCGTGAGTCGAAGGATTGGGTAGCTAAAGAAGGGATTCGGCGGTGGTTTGCCGCGGCTTTCGTTGCACAATCCGTCAACATAGCGCGGCTGCAAGAAGAAGTGGGTGACGAGTTAGTCGTGAACGATGCTGAGTTTTAGATGCTCAACAACCTGTCAGGCATTAAGCTCAAGCCATTTGCGGCGCGCCAGTATCAGATTGGTAGCGACAAGGCGAAGGGTGTTCTCGTTAACGACAAGTTTGCTGCGCTGGTGAAAGGCCTTCAAGGGATGGTGGTCTTGGGGGTATCCGCGGTTGGGAAAGAGCGTGCGGAGTCTTTTTTGGCGCCATTCCGCGACATCTCACAGCGCTTGCACCACTACGTGTCTAAGTTCCGCTCTGCTTTTTCAGGGGAGTATGGGACGGCGTTGGAAGAAAACATCGTAAACGCTGTCGACCGCGATTTATCCCTTGTAGCTGCAGCTGCGGGCCGGGCGTCGGACAAGTTGCGGACTCGTTTTCCGCACTCGCCCCCAGTTGGCGATTTCGCCCACATGGATATCCCGCGCATCGAGACGGCATCGTTTGACCACACCAGGCGAGCGACCGACGACCTTACCGGGGTACACCAACAGGCGCTGATGGCTTCGCTAACGGGAAATTCCGCTCAACGGGGAGGGGCGGGGGGGGGGGGGGGGGG